CCAAGTGCTCCAGGGCGCATTTCGCACACAGCACAGCGCCAAGTGCCACCGCTTCTTCTGGCTACTCAGCGCCACCTTGCGCGCAGAAAATGCCAAGCTTCAAGAAATGAGGCTCACAATCGCACAACACCCAGAAAATGAAATAACCGACCGCGTGCGTTGACAAACGCATTTTAACTTTGAATGCCAACCAAAAGGTCAAAGCTTGAACCCAGCAGGCAAGACCACGGATTACTCTTCTTGTCACCCCGATTAGCATCAAAGGCGCAGAACTTGGACACGCACAAATGTTATTCCCCAAACTTTTAGGGGCAACTTCGCGACCTCCCCCGAACAGGCGCATTTCCCCAGCACGCCAGGCTGTTTATCATGACATTTCCGCGTCGCCTGCTCATGGCATTTGCTTTGCAATATTTGATCGCCAGTTATGCAGCGGCGAGGAGACGGGAAGATGTTATATATGGATATCTGTCAAACTACCGCCTCTACGTGGATTCCGAACATATGATTTTCCTTTTTTGTTTCCCTTTGAAACTAGTGGCGCTGCGAAAGTCCATGACAGCGAAGATCAACCTTTGCTCACATGCAAAACGAGTGGGCCAATATGGGTTTTTCATCGACATCGTGGACCTTTTGAGGTTGGGTACCAAAGTGTCTTGTTGAAATGCCGATCAACTTACTGGTGGGGTGCTTGGTTCCTTCTTGGGTTCTAATGGCACCTACTGAGGCTGTTCCTGGCGCAGTGGCTTGCAGCTTGCTTGTCATGGAATTTCCCATTCTTTCTGGGAGGTTTTCCTGTGATGCTGTAATAGCATTTCACTGAAGGGGTCGGACGCAGGCTTTCTCGCTGGAGGCACCCCTGTCTGTGCCACGGCGCATTTAGGGCCACCAGATCCAGCTCCAGCATCACCCGCTCGAAGCTTTGTAGAAGATCTTGCGCCACAACCCACCGCCCAGCAGCACCCACGGCAGACATGGCCTAGTCGCAACGGGCTTCGCCAGCATGCCATGACTTGGGGTATAATCTTACCCGCCCTATCTGGCACCCAAAATAAGGTCATGGCCCAGAAAATAGCTCTCACTGGGATGGTAACACGGACTTTCAGGACTCGTGCGTTCCGCAAGTGCGTGCTAAATCGCACACGCCCTGTCAGTGGAGTGGGGCTTCACATGGTACCTCAAAGGCGCAGGTGGCGGGGAGAAACAGTTGGGCGGCTGTGTTTTCCACACCGGGGCACTTCCAACGCCTATACTGTATGCGAAGTTGTGAACTTTGTCCGAGATGCAGCCACATCTCACTGGGACGAATTGGTAAACCTTGTCGTGCACACCACGCCTTTTTCTTGGTTGGTGGACTGTCTGCGTCATCCAGCGGGAATGGGAATCCTTCAGCTTGTAAGTGCTCACTGTGCCACAAATAATCAGACATGGCCCCCCGTTTTCTGTCAGTTGTCTGTGGGGTGACAGGGGCACCCTTGGCGATGGCATCATCTTCTTCGACAAGCCCAGCAGGTTCTGATGGCAACCCCTTCGGAATGCTTCGCCGCAACCCAAGGGGCAACGTGTACATATAGCGGCAAACAACATAGCTCCCCTGCGCCCGAACATGTCGCTGCTCCCAAGCTTCTTTCAATCTGAAGCAAGACTTTATGAGCAGTGCCCACGGAAACCAGGAACGAAACTCAAATAGTGTCGTTTCGGCCAGGAATCTGTGTGCTGCATAAGCAAACAAATAAGCATCCAACGTGTAGATGTTAACCTCCCACAGCGGCTGCAGGAAAGCTAGTCCACCGGGCACAGGAGAATTGCAAATCCAACTGGCGAACATCGCCCCAAAAAACAACTCACTTTTCAGGCTTAGAGTGCTCTTATCAGGTGATGCGCAGAACCAACCGCCAGGGAAGAGGCAATACGGACGGCAAGCCATGAGGCCTGCGCCTGGCAGCAAACCCCTGTGGTAAGGCAAATCAGTGCAAAAAATCTTGCTCAGAACAGCACCAACCGCTTCTCCTTCACTAATTGCAGTAATGGGCAACCCTGCCGCTTTAATGTTGGACCTCCTTTATTAATAGTACTCGCTATTTCCTAATTCAGAATCCTGTGGCTGTTTTACGGGTTCTCTATTGTGGCAAGTTTTTTTGTCCCCCCAAAAGAACGCAGAGCTTCTTTCTTCGCTTTCTGGATTTGCTCGGGTTCAGGCTAAACTTGCTAAGCCTTGGTAGCTCCTGTTGAGCTGGAGGCTGGTTCTGAGCTAGAATTGGGAAATTGTTTTCTTGAAGTGGTCCCCAAACCATCAAATTTAAGATAACTTCTTTACAAAAAAGTGCGGGCACACAGTCACACAAAGGGGGGTGCCCACAAGAGGCCCAGATCCTCTGTAATGCGATTGTTTTGGGGTCCTCTTTAGTGTCCAGTGGTTTCGGAGTTGTTGAAAACTGAAAACCAAAGCCTCAGCCTTTTACTTTTAAAGAAGGGGACTCATCCTAAGCTCTCCCCAGCTCAAAGGTTAAAGGCTTGAGATCTAGGAAATCGATTTTGCAAGTCGTTCCCAAACCATCAAATTTAAGATAACTTCTTTACAAAAAAGTGCGGGCAAGCAGTCGCACAAAGGGGGGTGCCCACAAGAGGCCCAGATCCTCTTTAATGCGACTGTTTTGGGGTCCTCTTTAGTGTCCAACTGGTTTCGGGGGTTGCTGAAAAAACGACCCTTGGCAATACTAAAGTAGAATTGGCAATACTAAAGTAAGTACTGGGGATCTGAGAGTCAGCCTTGGCAATACTAAAGTAGAATTGGCAATACTAAAGTAAGTACTGGGGATCTGAGAGTCAGCCTTGGCAATACTAAAGTAGAATTGGCAATACTAAAGTAAGTACTGGGGATCTGAGAGTCAGCCTTGGCAATACTAAAGTAGAATTGGCAATACTAAAGTAAGTACTGGGGATCTGAGAGTCAGCCTTGGCAATACTAAAGTAGAATTGGCAATACTAAAGTAAGTACTGGGGATCTGAGAGTCTGCCTCGGCAATACTAAAGTAGAATTGGCAGTACTAAAGTAAGTACTGGGGATCTGAGAGTCAGCCTTGGCAATACTAAAGTAGAATTGGCAATACTAAAGTAAGTACTGGGGATCTGAGAGTCAGCCTTGGCAATACGAAAGTAGAATTGGCAGTACTAAAGTAAGTACCGGGGATCTGAGAGTCAGCCTTGGCAATACTAAAGTAGAATTGGCAATACTAAAGTAAGTACTGGGGATCTGAGAGTCTGCCTCGGCAATACTAAAGTAGAATTGGCAGTACTAAAGTAAGTACTGGGGATCTGAGAGTCAGCCTTGGCAATACTAAAGTAGAATTGGCAGTACTAAAGTAAGTACTGGGGATATGAGAGTCAGCCTTGGCAATACTAAAGTAGAATTGGCAATACTAAAGTAAGTACTGGGGATCTGAGAGTCTGCCTCGGCAATACTAAAGTAGAATTGGCAGTACTAAAGTAAGTACTGGGGATCTGAGAGTCTGCCTCGGCAATACTAAAGTAGAATTGGCAATACTAAAGTAAGTACTGCCCCTCCTGGACCCCCAGGATCTCCCTAAAGAGAGTCCCGCCGACTGGTTCCACTGTTCCAGGGGGGGGGGTCACACTAGACAGAGTCCAACATTACAGGGTCCATTCAATTGCCATCCTCACCACCAGGTTTCCCACCCCGAAAAGTCCCTTGGGAAAAAACAAAAACGCTTTTTCCGGGTCCCAGGGGAAAAAAAGGGGCCCAACAAAAACCTCAACTTTTTCTGGGTCCCAGAAACAAGGGGTAAAAAACACCAGTCCCAGGAAAAGGAAAAAAACACCGTTTGGCTTTCGACCCAAAGCCGCCGCCTTCCGAGAGCCGAGCCACGGCGCTCCGTAGAATCTCGCTGCGCCGAGTCTCCGCCTCCAGCGCCGACAAGCGCCGCAGCGCCTGCCGCACGGCGGAAGAACGCGCGCCGCTGGAAATAGGACCCACCCGAGCCGGTGAAAAGGAACGCCGGAAAGGAATCCTGAGAAGATTGATTGAAACTCCGGGACTCCTTTGTTGATGCTTGATGGTTTTTTTGACTTGATTGAAATCCCGAGATTGCTTTGTTGATGGTTAATGGTTTTTGACTGAGAGGATTGCCAAGTTCTGGGCCGGGTGAGAGTTGAAAATCAGAAGCTGGACAGAAGGAATGCCACGTCAGGGGTGCTCATCATGGATGAGCTCGCTCGACCCCAAATCAGCCGAAACGATTTGCCCAGAAGCACGGTCGTGAGTTACGGGCCCTTGTAGCAGCTGTAGTGTGCTTTCTCAGTTCACATCTGTGGGTGTCCTTGCGGGTGCCCTTCTGGCTTCACTTGATGCTGAGCCCTTCCAATACGTTTGGACAGGTCAAGGTTTAGTTCAGTCTATATTTGGGATTCTCCTGATTTGAAGAAAGGAATGGATCTAAAAAACACATAAACAAACCCATCGCCCAAAAAGAGGAATTCTGGCTCCTCAATTGAGTTTAGGGAGTCGTCCCTGCGGTTCAATTTTTCGGTCGGATCACCAATTTGGGAAACCCAACCAGCGATTTTGGGGCTCCGTTTCCCAATCATGAGGCTGGTACTTGGGCGAGATTACGAGAGGCGTACTGACAGGGTACTCTGGCAATCAACATGGACCAACTGCACAGCCCAAGAACATGGTCTAGGAACCTCCGATGAGCTTCCAGCTTCGTTGGTGGGAGGGTACTTCTTGGAGCCAACGATCCATTGAAGGAACCCGCACATTCTGGCTGTGGTGCCGCTATTCAGAAGCGGTCTTTTCCTCGACACAAAAACGGCTCCATTGTGCATGGTTTGATTGCCTATACATGAACCCCTCTAGTTCACACTCCTCCCAGGTACAATCCGTTAGGCTTGCACCTGCGCGACCGGTTCCGCCCCTCAGCTCAAGCCGTCCTCGATGTAGGTCATCACCCCGGGATCCTGGCGTACCCCCTCCCTCTGACTCCGGCGCATCGTCGGCACCGGTCGAAGGCATCCCACCTCCGTGTTGCCGCCAAAGTGGGGCAGTTCAGGGAGTAATGGTACCTGACCCCGTAGTCTGTGGTGAGCACCGGCTTCCAGTCCCTCACGATGACGGGGACCGAATGCTCCTCTTCTACGTCTTGCATCCGGAGCTCCTGTGCGAAGCACCATGTGCAGACATACCTTGCCTCTGCTCGACTTCCGGCGCACTCTCTGGTGTGGTGTGCGATCCTGTCCTTCTTGTTGAAGAACAGCTCTTCGTCCGGAATGTCCCACCTTTCGTTGCGCACTTCTTCCTCGATCTGGCCCAGTTGCCGCCCTTGATCATCTGCTGGCGGTTGATCCTCATTCCTCCAAGGCGGAGTGGGGTGCCTCCTCGCAGAATCCCTCCTCCATGGTGCATTGATGATCGGCTTCCCTTTTCCTTTTCCAGAACCGATTCCACCCTTTCCTTTCTCCAACGGCCTCCTCATGGCCTCTGGTGCTGCTTTTGATCTAGCACCCAATGCTTCCGACCCTCCGCCACCTCCGGTAGTAGTGGATCTTCTCCTTATAGTTGATGCCGATGCTCTCGACGACGATGAAGCCTCTTCTTCCGACTCCTCTTCCTCGTCACCCGCCGGCATCCTTACAGACGCATGTTCCCCTCTGCTTCTCTTCTCGCATGTCTCTTTCACCATCGCCGTCACCTTGATTGCCAGAGCCGTGAAGAGGACCACCAGGATGCCGAAGCCGACCAAGGCGTTGTCGTCTCCCTGATCTTCTTCCTCGACTTTCTCCTCTTTCGCCGCCACTGCCTGGACTTGCATGCAGCATGCCAAAATGGCCAACGCTGCCTTTCCTTTTTCCAGGTCCACCTCCAGGGCTCCTCCTTCTTCTGGCTTTGGTGCTCCAATCTCCACCAAACCTGCCATCTTGCGCAGATCACGTAGGCGAGTTCCCGGCAGACACTTCGTGCCCATGTCGGCGACCAGATTGGCGCCCATCCGATGCACTATCCGCCAGTCCCCCATCTGCACTCTCCATCTCACATAGAACGCTCTCAGACGAAGATGACGCGTCCGCCACGATCCAGCATCTCCTGTGCACAGCGAGACCGCCGCTTGGTTGTCCCCGATCAACGTCCGCGAATAGTCCATCTCCGTCTTGATCTCCTGAATCAACGCGTCTACCGAGTCCCCAAGAACCATTCCCTCTATCATCTCCATCAGCTCGGACTCGGCCGTCGACAGTGTAGGGAAGCTCTGCCTCGAAGATCTCCACGCCAGCATTGATCCCTGCCATTTGACCATTACACAGCCATGGCTAATCTCGCCGCCTGGCGCGAAGCTCGCATCTGTGATGACCTCCAAGCCCGCTCCTCTACTCTTTCTTCCATCTGTGTCCTCCCCCATGTCCCTATCCAGCAGGATGCCCTCCGTCTTGGTCGCATTGAGGTACCGCAGTGTTTGGGTCGCGGTTCTCTGCACCCATCGTGGAGCCTTGGACACGAAACTCAACATTCTCGAAACCACGTAGGCCAGGTCAGGTCTACTCCGGGTGACCAGCCAAATCAACTCACCCACCAGGCGCTGACCCGTCTGAATCTCCTCCGCCGTGATCCCAATCTCTGCCTCTGGCTCGCTGCACTCCTTGCTCATGGGGATCACCGACTTGCCAGTGACATTGTTCCGATCGATGATCTCCTTGATGTAGTCCATCTGGTCCAAGGTGATCCCCTGCTCCGTCACAGAGATGTTCACCCCGCAGAACCTTACCGGCTCCTTGCCGAACCAGCTCTCTTCTGATGATTCCCACGTGCTCTTGATCTTCTCCATGAGGGCTTGAGGCACTCCTTCCATGCCCAACGGCATGAAGTCGTCCACGTAGACTAGTAGCAGGCCGACCAGCTCCTCCGGATTCAAGTCGTCCTCTACCTTTTTCACCAGCCACAGATTCGGTTCACTCCTCATCTGCTCCAACTTCAGCCAACGCTTACCATAGCTGATTCTCCACCTCCTCATCTCGTCGTCACGGTAGTCCGACCAACACCTCGGACTCTGCCGTAGGCCGTACATTGCCTTGTTGACGATCCACAGCTCCCCTTTTGGTATCAACCCCTTCCGGACCAGTACTGCCGGCGGTCGCATGGCCACCGTCAGCTCTCCTTCCTGGTCAACTGCCTGCAGCGGGGCATTCAGGAAGGCTCCTTTCACGTCCACGGTGCCTCCTTGCCACCCGCGAACCGCCGCCTCCTTCAACGCCAACCGCAAAGCCACCACGTCCGTGCCCCCTGCGAAGAGCGGCATGGCCTCGTGAGACTCCCCGTAGTTGCCGCACACCACCAGTCGGCACTTACGCTTCCTTCCTGGTTTGATTGTGAACACCCCCTTCCCGGGTAGTACTTGCACCCGTGGGTTGTTCTCCAGCAGCTCCCTCGCCGATGCCGGGTTGAGCCTGGTGATTGCACCCTTTTCTTCCACGATGGTGTCCAGCTCCTTCTTCATGGGTGCCTTCCAATCCTCCAAGTTCATCTCCACCTCCTTGGCACTGACGATCTTGGTCTGGAGTATCTGCTCCTCGTCTTTTTCCACCTCTGTGCTGCTCCTCAACTCCTCTTCTTCCTTCTTCAAACCTTCTAGGGCTTTCACCACAATGTCCATCACCTCCGGCTCGTCGTTCGTCACCGCCTTCTCCTCCTCCTCTATTGTGGATCTGAGCGCCCGCAACCTCACCAGAACCCCTTCGTCTTCCAACACCTTCTTTTGGGTCTTATCTCTTATCCTCCTCCGGACACGATAGGGTTCCTCCGGCTCGCGCTCTTCTCCCTCATCACCTCTCCGTTCCACAAATTGCCACCCGTCCACTGGCTCCGGGAGAGGTTTCCAGTGGTGCAGCACATAGGCAGCCACCTGGACTGTTCCATCCTCTCTCATCACGGCGTGACCGTTCGGTACGTCCACCACCGGGGCCAAATACTTCCCCTTGACGTGCCTTGGGCCCAGCTCCTCCGACTTCCACTTCCTTTTCTTCACCATTACCTCCTGGCAGAATCTGGGTATCGTGCCCTCTTTTCTCTGCCTTGTTCTCTTCTCCTTCTCCACCACATACCGAGCTGCAGCTGGCCACCACTGTCCATCCACCTCGGCTGCAAAGAGCACTCTCCTCATTCTTGACTTCAAGTGATTGATGGCCACTTCTGCTCGCCCATTTGATCTCCAATCGTCTGCCGCCGTACTCGTCTTCGCGATGTCCCGGTTGAAGCACCACCGGCGCAAGGCATGGTTCATGAACTCCTTGCCCCTGTCGCTATGCAATCGCGCCACTGGAAAACCTTGGCGCTTCAATTCCAGATACATCGTCTGTATGGCGTCCAAAACTTCTTTGCCTCCTTTCGTCGAGAGAGGCACTGCCAGCGTGTGGACTTCAATCTCCAGCGGCTCCTCTCTCTTCTCCTCATCCTCTTCGTGCTCGTCCAGGTTGCCTTCTTCCATCTCTCCATCTTCCTGTTCTCCGACCAACTCCTCCAGCTCGAAGTCCCAGATCCCTTCTGGGGGTTCTGGATCAGCCGGATCATCAGGGTCTCCTTCTTCCTTCTCTTCTTCTTGAGGCTCTTCCTCCTCCGAGCCCTCTAGCTGGAAGATCGTCCGCCCGGCCCATCGGCTCTCGTCCTCAAAGACCTTTTCCGTCTTTTCGGCATTCCTCCAATCGTCCATGAACATCTTCAACGGACCATCCTTAGTTGTCCGTGCTATGGTCCTCCTCCGTCCCCGTAGTCGCTCCACAGGCACCGGACATCCTGGGGCATCATCAGGGAAGAACCTTACCTTCCGGTGGCTCTTGTGTACCCTGATCACGTACTTGCCGTTGGCGCTGGTGGTCCAGTAGTCCTCCGGTCGTTGCCCGGGTTGGTCCGGTTTCTTGACCTCCTCCAGACCCTTCGCCTTGCCAGCTTCTCCACCTCCATCTCGTTCCTTCTCCGGGATCTCCTCAGACTTCAGCGGATTCTTCGGCCATGTGTACGCGCCCACAAGCATGTACTTGCAGCTCCGCCCGTCGATGTCTCTTCCCTTCTTCAGCGGTCCGGCCAAATCCAACGAAAGGCAGTAGGCGTGCTTGTGCTTGATCCTCCTATGGGGTCGGTCTTGACCACTCGCCTCCTGACAAACTCGGCAGTCCCTCCTCATCGGGCAATGTCCCGCCGCGATGTGCTCCTGCCAACTCAGCTTCCGCAGCTTCACCACCTGCTTCCTGACCTGCGTCAGAATCGCTCTCGCCACTTCTCTCATGAGTCCCGGAGCCCACCTTGCGAGGTTCTTCGAGTCTCTGAGGTCCACCTCCTCCATCCGGGCTCTTGACACCAGCCCGGTCACCCTTCTCTCAGGCAGGTCGATGTAGAGGTTGGTCCCCAATGTCGTCGGCTTTTGTGCCGCTCCTCCGAAGTCCCCCTGGTAGAACTCGTGCTCGGCCATGCCTTCCATCTCCTCAAATGCTTCCCACTGGGTCGTCCCCCAGAAGGTCGGGCATCCAGGCATGTACTTCCTGGGATCCGCCGGCTGCTCCAACACGAAGCCAACCTGTGGGCCTCCCTTCGCATTCCGCGCTTCTTCCGCCACCAGGTAGATGGCTAACATCCGCCACATCATCACGTCGTCCTCCCAGACCGCCTTTTTCTCATGCGGCGTGAGGTCGCTCCTCCCAAACGGTTCTTCCGGTGACCTCACCGGTCGTGGACCACCGCCAGGTAGTGGATAATGTCGGAGCACACTCCTGGTCCGGCAATTCGGTCCACCCACCACCGCATCGAAACGCGAATCCAACGCGCCCCGCAGCAGTGCTGCATAGAGCTCGTCCGACATCATGTCGTGCTCCGGCCCACGCTGCAGATCAATCTCCAAGACGTCCATGTGGTCGCCTCCAAGCTCCTTCACCGCCCTTTCCAGGGTGTATCCTTCACGGGGTCCCGCGTATAGGTGCAGGATGGCTTTCCGGCCTTTCTGCTCCAAGGACCTTCTCCGTCTCCGATTCCATGGGATTGCCCGCAATGTTTCCGCCGGCTCCACCAGAATCTTCCTTCTCACCTCCTCCGGTAGGTCACGAAACGCAGGATGTAGTTCCACCACCTTTCTGACCGTTTCCCAGTCCAGGACCTTCTTTAGCTTTACTTCGCTAATCCGGCCCTTCCTTTTCTCCTTCCCCTTTTTCTCAAGCTCCTCGAGCAACTTCGTCGCCGTCCGCTGGGTCACATAGGGGCATCCATCCTCCATGTGAATCCGCAACGCTCCCAGCTCTGGATGTACCACGCGGCACTCATCCCCATCCCACGTCACCACGCAGTGCAACCTCTCCACCAGCAGACCCAACGGAATGATGGAGCCCACGCCCTCGTTCTCCTGGACGATGATGCCTTCCTCCGTGATCCGCATGACTTTCGTCTCTCCCCCGGCCAGGGCAACATCGATCTCGTCCAGATTCTCGATGTCTTCACCTTCTTGCCGGGCACGTAGGGGATGCGTAGCTCCCGAGTCCAGTAGCCCACCATCACTCCACCTCCCTTGAGCCTTTACCTGGGCCCTTTTGAGAGACCCAGATCTCAACCCATTCAACTGTTTCTGCAGGTCGTCCAAGCGGTCGTTTCTCTCGTCCACCTTTTTGACTCCCTGCGAGGCGTTGAGGCTCCGTAGCATCTTTGCTGCTTCCTGCAACACCCCCCCCATAGATTCGTCTTTCTTCGAATCTTCCACCACCGTTTCCTTCTCCCGGGTCGGCTTGATCTCCTCCTTCTTGGGTGAAGATGCCGAAGCCGGTGTCGTCGCCACGTCGTTTTCCTGGGCCACCCTTCTCACAGCCGCCGGCTTCTCTGGTGATGTCGGCTTCTGCTTTCTGGGGCAGTCTTTCCTCATGTGTTCCACTGATCCACACTCCCAGCAGCGTCCTCTTGCGGTCTCATCCGTGGGGTGCTGCCACTCACAACTCCGGCCCTTTCTGCAGCCGGTGTCCTTCATGTAGAACCTGCAAACTAGGTCTCTACGTCCCGTCGCCTGCTCCTTCTCTGTCTCGACCTTCCGGATCTTGGCGTCCACGGGTTTTGTCACCTTTCTCTCACACCCCTGGCTGCCCTGTTCCAATTCGGCCAAGACATGCTCCGCGAACTGCTGCACCGTTCCATGCGTCGGCACGCTGTCCACCCGCAGCGTGTTCCGGGCAAGGGAAATCCGGAACGTCAGCTCCCGGTTCGTCTCCACCACTTTCCGAATCATCTTGCTGAGGCCCCTCATCATCACCGTAGGGTCTGGCAACGCCAAGTTCATCTCGCCCGCCCGCCGCCTCCACCTCAGCCACTTTCTCAAACTCTTGAGTGCCTCCGGGATCGTAGCAGCTTCCACCGGCTCCTCCAACGCCCGTAGGACCACTCCTTTTTCTCCAAGGCCTCCTGGTTGATACACTACCAGAAGCCTACAGATCGCCCCGTATGCCGACACCGTATTCGTGGCGATCATCTCGTCTCTCACCGTCTCCGGAACCGCCTGGATGATGAGCGAAGCTGCCCGCCGTTCCAACCGACTCCATTTCCGTACCCCCAACACCTCAGGCGTCTTGGGCACCATGTTGACCCTGTTCAGCGGGATCTCCTTCATGTACTCCTCGTACCACTCGCGGGCCTCCTTTAAGAGTAGGTCCCACCATTCCATCGAGCTGTCACTCAGGTCCGACATCAGGGGATGGATGATGGTGAACCAGTCCCCTAGTTCTATCGGACCATTCTCCGGGCTAAACTCGCCCAGGCGAGGCAACTCCGCGAAGCCCGCCTTGACCGTCTCGATGGTCTCCGTCTTCTCCTTCTGCTCCAGGAGCTGCTTCTGCATCATCTGCATGCCCTCCATGAGCTTCAGCATTACGTCCATTTGGTGGCCGTCCTTTCCGGATCCAGCCACATCACTTGCCCTTTCCGAGGCACCGCCATCCTGCTCATCCCGAGCATTTCCTTTTTCACCACCAGCCCCAAGTCTGCCTTCTCCGCCCTTGCCATTCGAGTGGTCGCGGGTCGGGCCGTAGGGCTCGTGGTTCTGATTGTCCCTGACCGTGCTCATGCCGTTCACCTTTTCCCGGCTCTCCGGCGTGCCATAGTCAGCGTCTGTCTCCTTTCCTTGTTTCTTCAACACTTCCACCTCATGCTGAAGCCTCTGATTCCGCGTCATCAGCTCCTGCATCATCTGCATGAGGTAGACCGGGTCCACTCCCGGTGCCGATGGTGTCGTCCTCGTATCCTGAGACGCCGCCATCATCTTCATCATCTGGCCCTCCGGCTCCGGATTCTCCATGGGTAGGTACCTCGGTCGAAGTTGGCCACCACCCGGAGTGTCTCCCTCCAGGTTACTCTCCACGGGCAAGTGCGCCGGCCTCGGTTGGTCCATCCGCGGTCCCCTCAGCAACGGTGCTTTCTCGTCCCACTTGTTGAACTCTCTGAGCTGCTCCGGGGTGAACAGAGGCTTCATGGCTTCTGGCTCTCCTTCCGGTCCATTTGGCCACCTGCGTGGAGGCTCCTCGAGTTCCTCCTCGCCCTGGCCTGGCTTGAGTGGTGTTGCCGTGAGCTCAAGCGGCTTCACCACCTCCACCATCCTCCTCGGAGGCCTTCTGCCTCCAGCATAGGGCACCATTTCCTGCCCTATAATCTCCAGGCTCTCCACCTCCGGTTCTTCTCCATCGGCAGAATCGAGCCTTTCTCGAGGTTCTCCACTTCCTGATGCCCTTGTCGGTTCCATTGCCGAGCGAGGGCCCCTGTTTTAGGGGTTTGGGCTCATAACCTGTGGTGCCGCTATTCAGAAGCGGTCTTTTCCTCGACACAAAAACGGCTCCATTGTGCATGGTTTGATTGCCTATACATGAACCCCTCTAGTTCACACTGGCAATGCCAAAACCTGAAATAAGAAATCCCCGCGGCAAAGGACCTAGAAACATCTGGCTGTCAAAAATAGGTACCCAAAATGCGACCCTGGCAAATGGAAACATGGAAGAACACCTGCAGTCCTCTGGTGGGTTCATTTTGACCCATGCCCATCTTGAGCTTGCCTTGGTTCCGCCAAACCCCCCCCCCCCCCTGGCCTTGCGCCATGGCTTTGTGCGGATCTGTGAGGCCTGCCTGACGGATGCAGCATGGAAACGCGCTGCACACCGCCCAAACACTGCCGCGCTGAGACACTTGGACAGGACACCAACAGAAAACACCACGAGAGCCGGGGTAGTTTGAGCACTGCTTAGGAAGAGACACCAGAAGGACAACTCAGCACAGCACCGTGACATTGGAGGCACCATTGTGACATTGGAGGCACCACCGACATCCCAGGAAACTGCCGGCACACCAACGAGACACCGCCGGGGCACTGGGGCACACCACCAAAACCAAACACGACCATTGGGGCACTGCCCGGACACCCAGAGACACCACCGGGACATTTGGACGCCGCCGAAGCGCTGGAGCTTCATCAGCTGCGGGACACCTCCGGGACTACCTGAAAAATGGTCAAGCTTGCTTCCTTTTGGCATCTCCTTAGATACCTAAGCGGTTTCACAACTTGAGACACCGGCAGATCTTTGAGAGTTGCTAAACATGCAACTCCAGGGGCTCTAGCCCACTGTTCTTCTTGTATCTCGATACTACCCTTGTGGCAGTGAAAAGGAAGCCCAACCCGGAAAGCAAGCCATTTTGAGAACATTGAGACCATCCAACATGTTCGCCTTCGCTCCGTGTTCAATTTCATCTGGGTAAATGGGTCATCTCTAAACCGGACATGAGGGATACCAGGAACGCTCATCATTGAGCTCGTTTTACCCCCAGGCGAGCTCTTTGCTGAGCCTTTTTGCACCTCCCGCCTCAGGTCGCGTCGCAGCTCCATAGGGCGAAAGGGCCCATCCCTCAAAGGGTTACCCAGCCATATTTTGTGGCTCGTCCGACGTCCCCCTGGTTTCTGTGGTGCTTTCGTGGCTTGTCCCCTATCCCGTCCCAAACGAACCCATAGACGGTTGTACATCTTGACAACGAACCCCAGGCCGCACTCGACGGATCCAGCGGCCACACAAGCCATGAAGCACCAAATGAATCAGCCGGTTGTGTGGGTTGGTAACTTAAGCTCGTCTGCGGCCATCTTTGTGAAGTTGGAGTTAGGCCGCATACGCTCATGTTCAATTGGCTGCTTCTGATTTAGTCCCCCATATCACCCACAATCATCTTGTATCAACTCCTCCAGTCGGAGATATGTGGCAACAATTGCAACAGGTCACCATCCGAATTACCTTCTGATTGGTGAAAAGGGGTTTCCTACCTATTACAATGCGACCACTTTATCTGGAATCCAGAAAGTATGGCTGGTTTCCCTTCATTTCCACTTCAAGCACCAACCAAAGGGGGGTTCACCACGCGGCTGGCCGAGTGCTCGCGCAAGCCAATGGACTCAAACCACCGAGCCGAGGATCGCCTCGATCCCAAGAGATGGATCCGTTCGGGATGTATGTTTTCCTGTGGGCTTGCCTTGAGAACGACCCAAAAGGGGGGGGGGCTAGTCTTGTAGCTGTCCATTCGCAGGGATCTTTTTGAGGAAACTGCCGAAGCCTCCCATGATTGCCATAACGAGGAACCATGAAAAGAATCTCAACATTTAGAAGGTTCGTAAAGCACAATGAACAACAAGGACAAGAACAAAGAACAACAACCAAGCACAACAAAAACTTCTTTGGTTGCTTTTGTGCCTTGTCTCTGTTTTGCTGGCGCAAGGATCGAGGGTTGGAACTATTGGCTGATCGAAGCACTGGCCAACGGCTGTGCCCCAAGCTCCGGAAGCCGCCGCCAAGTTGTGATGTTTTAAGGGGCAGCGCTCGAGTCCCCGCGCACCCCCCGCCCGGGCTACAGCAACAGAGAGTATTTGCAAATCAGGGGAACAACAGGTGACATCTACAGTTGGATTCTCCATCCAAGGTGCTTACAATTGGCCCAGGTGAGTGATAGGCGAAACAGGTGCGCTACAAATGCCCCATGTTGCAAGGAAGCCGAAAGCTGCAGCGTTTTTCTTTTTGCTGTCGCAAAGCTATTCAAGTCATTCAGCACCGAAAGCAGCGGCCGATAGCTGCTTACCTTCTCGCAAGCACCGGCAGTGGACGCATACCTAGGCCCACACTGCAACCCAGTCGGTGCCCTGAAACGAATCTTGACATGGGGATTTGCTGAACCTGTACCTTCAAAACAAATGGCAGTCTGACAGGCCCAATCAATTGAGCTAACATTTGAAAACGGAAATGACACCATTCGTCTATCTTGAAGAGCTGCTCACTGCTTTCGCCGCTTTTGATCGGTTGATTTTGAAGGGGAAGCCTGCTCAAAAACCAACTACAAGGAGCAGGGGCAACAGGTCTCGAAAAAAAAGGGTGGAACAGGTACAACACGAGAGAACAACATAAGACACAGGGTCAGAACTCGAACGGGTCCTCGTTCCGAAACCTAAGTGTGTATCCTACATTGTCAAAGTCATGAAGCCCGTTGAGATTTTGACAGGTTGCAACTGTTGGGATTTCATATTTTTGAGGAAGCTTATCTTCAACTCACACCTGCAATAGCCGCGCCCTGACTTAGAATAAGGGTACCATGTTTGTCTGTAGTCTATTCTAGTAGGGGAACCCTCCCCCAAACAAGTTGGTAAAAGGACCCTACTGGGGGACCTAGGAATTGTGCCCTTGCCGGGTTGCGCCACCACGTCGGGCACAAGCTCCAGATGGGCGGAGTGCGCGAGCTGCAGGCACGCGTGTTGCCAGCGCATAGCCTCCCCCCCAATGGCTCTCTGCTTCATAAGGCCTGTTTAGGCAAATTACAATAGAAGCTCGGCTTTAATAGTTGGAGGGGCTTGTTTGGAGATTCGGTGCGCAGCTTGCCCGTCGCGCGTTCTGCTTGATTTGTTGCATGTGGAACACAAAGCCCAAGCAAAAAGGAAACAAACACGGCACTGGGCAACTGAGCAAATGAAACTCCGCAGCCCGACCTTGCCAGGGCCATGTCTGGAACTCGATCTGGCATTCCCCGGCCTTGGCCAAAGTGCCCACCAGGCTGCTCTGTGTAAGCACATCCACCTGGGTATGTCTTGCATTGGCAGAAAGGGGGGGGGTCAGGGAAAAGGTGAATGCTTTGTTCCAACCATCAAAAGGGGATGTCAGCATCATCTGATCGCCTGATCTGTTGCTATGACGGAGTCTGATGGCCACAGTTCAAAGCCCTCTTAAGCGAGCCCATCAAAACTGTCCGCAAGCTACCAAGGCTGCCTGGAGCTGCAAGCCATTCCAAGCGCAAAAACTGCTTGGCTGCCAGGATATGTCATGGTTGATCATCGGCTGCCCGGTCGCAACCAGTGGCCTAAAAGGTTGGGGGCGGGGGAGCTTTTTGGGGTTGATTCTGGTCGTGGGTCCCCAACCCACCAAACACCACGGCATTTAGAGGCTGGCATCTGGCGCTGTACTGGGGCTTCTCGCCACCTTGACCAGCTGAGCTTTACTGGGTTGGTGTTTCAAGCTTGTTTGATCGTCAGGAAGGAAGGTTGCAAGCTTGCAGTTGGTCAATGCTCAAAAGGCTAAACCATTCTTCGGGTTCCACTAAAGAGCAACACACATGAGACCCGAATAAGGCGTGTCAGTTAGGGGGGTTGAACCCAAGCCCATGACACACGAAACCAGCTGAGTCACTGTGACGCTGGCCCTCGCGTCCTCAAACAGATTTGAGGCCAGCTCCCACTGCTGAGATTCCTACGAGACTCCGCCGGTGTTTTGGGGCGGTTCGGAGAGCCCCAGCGCTTAGAGAGGCCCCAGTTGACGTGTAAAGAACTAACAAGGCGGCAGCTATTTATGGCTGGGCTACTTACCCGAGTTTTAATTATAGCTCAATTATCACCTGAAAAATAGACTTGGAACCATTGCTTGGGGCTGATTCCATGCAAGTGGGGACGCTAAGCAACCCGAAAGGTAGAAGCAAAAAGAGTTGGACCCAGATCTTCTTGGGGTTGAACTCTGACCAAAGGCCGGTAAAGAAAACCACCCTTGGGACAGTGCATGAAAGGAACTCTCCGTCCGAAGTTCTTGGCGAAGTGTGTCCTATGTGAATCTGCTCACAAAAAGGGCCCCACAGCAAATACTTGTAAAGTTGGCTTGTTTCCCTCGGATTCCCCAATTTCTATCAAAGGAGGAGGGGGAACAAAGCTCAGAACTGGAGGCGGGGGTTCGTTACCTGGGGCAACCTGAAAACTCCCTCCCCACCTACAAAACGCATATCCTTTCAACCAGTGGTTCATGACAAAGAGTGACTAGCAACATTTTGGGGATGAAATCAACCTGAAGCAAGCCGGAGACACACCATTACTGACCAACACGAAAACGACATGTCAACCAGCACGCAATTCAACCTGTTCAAGTGCCGCCCTCCCCACCAATAAACTGCAATGCGCTGGAATCAGCATAGCATGCGTGCAGGCTAAACCATCCGTCCTCGACCCCCGCCATCGCGGCGTTGTAGGCGACCAAGTTCAGCTGGAGCTGCTGCCTTTGGGCAGCCCCAAAGAGCCACAGCGCCCGTTGCCTCAACGAGATGAGATCCGTCAAACAGTTCTCCCCATACCCTTTTGGCTTATGAACATTGTGGGCTATTTAGCACCCAGCCTCCAAATCCGTCGGGAATCTCAAGGTGGACTTCCCAATGACATGGGCCCCCTTCAGGGCCGAGCCACTCCCGCGCGGATGGAAGTTGCCCGGCCTTGAACATTGAACCTTTTGGATTTCTGCCCGAAAAAAAAACATAACACGCAAACAGTTTGAACAAGACCGCAGCAGGTTTTTCCTACGTGCTGTGAGGGCCCGTTGGGGGGGGGGAAGGTTTATACATGACCTGCCTTTGAGGGAACTGCAGGGACCTTCTTTGAGAGATTAATTTTAATCTTAACGAATCCTGATTTCTTTTTTTGGGGGGGCTACAAAGTAACCCCAACTGATGCACACCGCAGCGAGCTTTGTAAGTGCCAGCGCCAGGAAGGAAGCCTTGCTCAGTCATGCGGCTTTGGAAGCCTTCGACCTTTTTGGGACGTACGTCAGGACCCCCCGCGTATAGTTTCCATAACCTGCAAGCTGCATACCACCTGTCCATCAATCAGCCTTGTGTCTGACTTTGATGGAGTCCATACCCTAGAAACAGTGAGCACATTGACAATGGGCCCAGGAAAATCTCAAAGGATGCTCCATCATGCTTGGTCTCCTTTTATGAATGGAACGCGTCGGTGAGTCTTGGACTTGCGCCTTCGGCATTGCAAGCCAGCGGCCAAATCGTCGTTTTGGCACAGGCGCTGATAGCAGCGCTGTAGGTCACGATATTCGGCGCCTTTGATCACAAGTAGAGAAACAACACCCTCTGCGAAAAGAAACGGAGTTGATTCCAGCAATCACTACCGGGCGCCATGAACCGGCTCTCATGTTTTAGGGATCCCTCAACTTCCCTTTTTGTACCTCACAAACAATGTGGCAGCAACTTGGGACAGGGGTAACTTCCACATTTTCTCAGGAGCACTTCTTCCAGAACAAAAACTACACAAACACGGGGACATGGCTGGCTTGGGAAAAGAACCATGGCTCAATCGAAGGAATCATCCCCTGGAGCTGCGACCAACATGATCAACTGTTGATTTGGGGAAATCCACCCAGCTGATTTCCATTTTCGGAGGCTTGGAGCCAACAGCTCCATGTGATTGGCCTGCGGTGAAAGTTGCTTACATATTATCTTGGCCGCGCCTCTTTTGGTTTCTGCTTTGAATATTCCCAACTAGGATACCCTCCAAAAAACCACATCCAAGTAAGGAAGTTTGAGCAGCCTTCTCAGCATGCTTCAAAAGGTGGCGCCAACTAGAATTCGCGGCCCTCTGAAGGTCAGTGGAAAAAACGGTCCTTTTGTCTCCCTCCATCCTACATATTTTTTTTTGGCCCTTGCAGGCCAAGGCGGCCACTGACATCGTAGTAGCATTTTGGAAACCAACCGGTATAAATGAACACCTAGCATTCTCGTGTGAACCTGCCAAAGTACACCCCAACAAATTGTCCTTGACCAAGGTGTATGAGCTGTATGAGATCTGCAAAGGACAACCCATAAAGGGGATAGAGTGGGGCAATGAAAGTATATACAGAAAGGAATCAAAGAACACACTCTACAAGGTGCCCGAGGCATTCAAGGCATTCAATCCTACACTCAGAAGTTCAATTCCCAGTAGTCGGCCCCGCAAACCGTCCTGGCTTATGTTCGGCCTGGAAATGTGTCGCCAGGGTTCACCCTCAAATTATCACTTGAAGTAGGTCGCCGAGTTACCCCGGTATGAACTTGAGAGCAAGGCCGATTAGGCACCCGACCCTACTTTCTGTGATTAAGAGGGTCACAGAAGGGTCCAAAGCAAGGGCATCCCCTGGTTTGTACGACCCTCATGTAGAAATCTGGCTGAGGGCCAGTGTTCGAGGCACGATCCGGCGTTCGATGGCCAGGTGGAAGAGTGCAAGGGCCATTTCCCACCTCAAACACAGGTTGGGCTGACATCTTCACACTGACCTCTATTGCTCTGCCAACCGAAAAGCCTGGAATCAAAAGTAATTAGCTCGCGCCCCTGGACGTGCCCCAGCCATTTGTGCCTATTTAACTGGGGTCACACATCCACAGGGAGGAAAGGACTATGTGAGAGCGTGTGTTTGGGACACGTATCTCAGGCTGACAGCTGCACGCAGCTATTTCAGTTTGATGGAAACAAACAGTTCTATGGGCGACTAAATGCCTCAAGTCGATTTGCTTTGGGCTAGTAGATGGCAGAAGCGAACCTGCCTTCCCGGTGGCTAAGCAAATCCATTGACTGGCAGTTCTGCCGAAGGTTCTTTTTGTCCGCACTATGGCCCCTACCTGCTCTAGGATGTGCCTCCCAGACAGCGCCCGAGTTCCGTATTTTGGAAAGCACCCATCCTTTGACACGGCCCGAATCACAAAGCTGTTGTTGGTGCGATTGAGCCCTACGCCACAGGGCACCTCCAGATCAGCTCCCCAAGGTCTCGAATCTGCCTGCCTTCGATTTTTGTAAAACACACTTCATGCAGGAGATTGGATGGGGTTGGGTGCGTGGAGGGGATGCAGGTGGGGAATAGAGACGGCTCACGTGGCAAAAAGACTGAACCTGCGTCGCATTTTATCAATAGTGCGCAGGAGAAAGCGCTCACGGCAAGTGCGAAATTGTTGTGCCGCCACACATTGGCACGATCTGCAAGAGTACAAACCTTGGCGTGCTGTGTCGTAGGCGCTTTTGCGCTATGCGGTCTTCAGAAAATGCCCCGCAGGCCGTGCGAAACAGTCATGATTTCCTAGGCTCCAAAAAGTTGTGGGATCTTGGTTTGGGTGTTTCTCCCTAAACAATTAACATCAGACTCATCCGGAGGACCATGCTAATGAAAGGAAGTCCCATACATGAATCGATTCCACTCTAAAAAAGGCAGCCAGCCCTGATTGGATCAGTACAATCCTGCAAACAGTGAGGGGCAGAAACACACATGCACAAACACAAAGACAAACACGAACACAAGCACAATGAACACAAGCACAAGCACAAGCACAAGCACAAGCACAATCAACACCACGCACATACACATGACGACAAATCTGAACAAGAGAAAGAGATGCTTTAGCATCAGAGCATACATTCTAATTATTGCTTGCATCCTATCGGTTGCATCCTTAGCAAGCTGAACAGCCGGCAAACTAGTATCCTAAGGCTACTGTATATTCATCGTGAAGCAAAACATCTGGAACTGCCAATCCGGAGAATAACGCCAAACACCGCTCAGCACGGGTCCGCAATTGCCGAGTCGCTCATTTCGCTTTTCACAGGCACTGATCGCAGAGCTGAAGGTGATGGCATCCGGCTGCAAGGCCCCCAGGAGGTGAACAGCCACCGGCCATTGCGCCGCCTTCTCCTCAGTTGGACGGAATCTCCGGAAACGTCAGCGGAGGATGCGCCCCGGGGAAAAAACCCCCCCCCAAAAAAAAAACAACAACAACAACGAGCTCTTTCTTTTTAGGCGCGAGGTCATAGCATCTGTTGGACAATTGAAGCAAGCCCTGAAATTCAAAGGTGGGCTACCTTTCTTTCCCAGAATGGTTATGGGAGAGCACCAAAACACTTCCCCAATGGGTGCGGACCTGGTTTTTCCAATCCCAAGCCTCTCGTCGAAACAGGTTGGGGGCTTGAACTACCAGGCTCCCCCCAACCCATCGGACGTTCGTCAGTGGAAAGCTCGCTTATGCAGTGGCCATGGGGGACAAAGACTTGGCCATGTTTGTAACTTAATCTGAAGAGAAGGCCACCCTGCCCACAATTATACCAATGGCTCCAATTCGTGTAACTCACTTGTATACTCGGGACATCGTCGCTCATTCGCAGGGATGCATGACTTCAGCCCTGCCAATGCATCTTTCCAGGCACCAGTAGGGTGCCCTCGAAGAATGCTAGCAGGTGGGAGGGCAAGCAGCTACTGCCCTAATACATGGAATGCACAAACAAAGACTTTTCCGCAAAAGGCCATCACTGCCTTGGGGGCTCGATTCCTTTTTGTATCCGAAGGGAAGGACCAAGGATAACCCGTGGAACTACCCAGAAAGGTCACGCTGAGAATTCACAAAAGGGAAGCCAAACGAGACTCTCCCCCCATACAGTGATCTCCATGAATGGACGCTGCTCGGCCCATGCTGACATTACGGGAGCACAAATTTAGAGGCAGAAGCTGTGATCAACCTGCACTCCAGCGCAAGGATTATACATGTTATTCTCGGCTGAGCATGGGGAAGGACCACAGCAAGCAAAACACGCACAATGAAGGGCTGAGAACGCAACTAAGAATGGAATCCCCCTGTTTGCCCAGGAAGGTAAGCCAACTCATCAACTAGCAAGCTGACTGCAGGAGCTGTCAACCACTGGCCCATTCGGAATCTTAGTGGACTTTGTGCTGCCTTTTGTAGAGGTCACTAGAATACTAGAACTTTCTCAACCAAACGTACTGGGTCAATATTGGAGGCAATATGATCCATCAGTTCACGCGAGGTTTTCACTGGGGAAATCAACGATTGTTATTCAGCCAGAGTCCGATCATCCACGGGCAGTGGAGAGGGTGGGAGGGTGGGAGTTTGGCGTTCCAAGCCGCGCAGGCACTGATGAGCGCATTGCAAACCGCCACATCCTTCCGCGCCCGTTGAGCCCAGGGCAGTTGAAGGGCCGCCTCCTTACTCGACCATCAGAAGCCGGCAGGGGCCCACCCAGGTTTTCTTGTGGGGCTGACATGGGTGTATCTCAAACTGGAAGCCCCCTCGGGGTGTGGGTATTGAGGGCGGCTGAAAGGCAAGCAACCTGGACGGGTTCACAATTAGCTGTGACAATCCAAGCCTTCCCAAGAGCGGCATCTAGCCCAACCTTGAAATAGGAGGGACAAGTACTGTAAAATCGTGGCTGCTTTTTGGCTCCCGAATCAATCAAGTTCCCGCGAAAACAACGCACACTCAAATTGTCGTCTTCCTCTTGGCTGCGTTGGAAGGCGGGATGCGCTGACTGGTTGCAGCCAGGCCTCCCATCTTGAGGCCCTCTCACATGCGCTCATCGCCTTGGCTTGAGAAGGTTGCCCTGGATGGTACGCCTCTGGCTCATTTACTTCCCAGCAGTAGAACCTTCATCCGCTTGTCTGGCCTGCAGGCCCATCAACAGATTACAAATGCCTGAGCCACCTTCGCAAAGCACCGATCAACCAAGCTTGTCCTTTGGCCCCCTTCTGCCAATCGAGTAGTCTTATTAGGACAATGGCCTGACGGTAGGACCCTGAATTGGTAGCCACCCCCCAAACCGCATTCGCCCCCAAAGCTCTAGGAAACTAACTAACTCCAAGAAACTCTAGAAAGTTGGCCGAAACCGGCTCTGGCATTTTTTGGGCCAACTTGTAGCTGGTTCTGAGCAGCGCTTCCTTGCCAGCTGGCGGAGCTTCCCGTGATCACGTCGGCTTGCAGCTGGTTCGATTCTGCTGTGTTGAGCAGGCGCAAAGCCTCTGGCCAGGCGCCCACCTGGCCAAAACGACCGGAGAACTGCGACCCGGCCGAAAGCGGACCCCCTTTTTAGGGTCGACCGTTTTTTGTGAACAAAATGTTTGCCACCGAACAAGTGGGGGTTTGTTGGGGACAAGCAAGCGAATCCCGAAGGGATGCCATTCCCTTTACCCGAATGCGCAGCAGAAGCGTGAGTGGGGGTCTGTCCGCAAGCGTTCGCATGTGTTCGCAGAGGGTCGGGGAGTGGAACATATGGGATTTCAATGAGTCTTGAAGCGCTGATTTTCTTGGCGCCTGTGCGTGAATCGTGTCTATTGCAGCGACGCATGTCGTTTCGCTGCGCAAACGCAGTGTTTTGAAAGGTTGCGCGTTCGCATGGCTGTGCCATTTGGATTTGCGTTTCAGGGCGTTTTGAGGTGTCTTGCTTGGCAGGAGAGTGCACGCGTTTGTCTGCTTGTCATTTTCGTTGGCCCTGCCGTGTTCTGGCGTCGCAGTCCCGTGCTAATCTTGGACGCGTGTCGTAAACGTGTCGAAGTTGGATTTCTTGACAGGCGCAGCAGTTTGGAAGACTTTGAGTGCGTGGCAAGCTTACTTCAAGCGATAGGCGCAGCACTTTGGAGCGAGTCGCTTCAATTTCGTGGCAGGCGCAGTACCGTATGGCAGGGCGGCGCCTTTGACTTCTGGCCAACACTTCTGAGCGACACTTCTGATCGACACGTCTGAGCAACACTTTTGACCGACACTTCTGATCGACACGTTCTGAGCGACACTTCTGAGCAACCATTCTGCTCAATGCTTCGAATCTGTCGTTCAGAGGTGTCGACCAGAAGTGTTGCTCAGAAGTGTCGCTCAGAAGTATCGGTCAGAAGTGACTCAGAAGTGTCGCTCAGAAGTGTCGATCAGAGGCGCCGATCAGAAGTGTTGCTCAAAAGTGCTCTCAGAAGTGTCGATCAAAAGTGTGGATGAGAAGCGTTGCTCTGAAGCGTCTGTGAGAAGTGTTGCTGTGCTGTTCAGAAGTGAATGTCGCTTACATGTGTGCGCGCAAGTGTTGCTCAAAGGTGTCACGGGTATTGCACGTTGCTCAGGGGTGTCGCTCAGAAGTGTCGCTGAGATATGTGTGTCGATCAGGAGTGTCGCTCAGAAGTGTCGTTGCTGTGTGTAGCGTCACTCAGACGTGTGGCTCAGAAGTGTCTGTCAGAGGTGTCGCTCAGAAGTGTCGCTCAAAAGCGTCGCTCAGATATGTGTGTCAAAATGTCGCTCGACATGTGGCTCAAGAGTGTTGCTCAGAAGTGTCGCTTACATGCTTGTGTGAAAGTGCCGCTTGAAGTGTTGCTCAGAAGTGTCGCTCAGAAGTGTTGCGCAAACTGTCTCTCAGAAACGTGTCGCTCACGGGTGTCGCTCATTGCTCAGAGGTGTGCTCAGATAAGTGTGTAGAATTTGTCACCCGAGTCGTCGCCCAGGAGTGCCGTGTCGTCGCTCACAAGTGTCGCTGATGTGTGTGTGTGTGTAGGCGTGTGGCTCACTGTCGACCAGAAGTGTCGATCACTGTCGAGCAGAAGCATGTTTCTCAGAAGTGTCGCTGAAAGGTGTCGATCAGAAGCGTCGATCCGCTCAGAAGTGTCGCTCAGACGTGCGGATAAGAAGCGTTGCTCAGAAGGCTCAGAAGTGTTGCTCAGAAGTGACGATCAGACATGTAGTGTCGCTCAGAAGTGTCGATCAGAGGCGCCGATCAGAAGCGTGCTCAGAAGAGCCGATCAGAAGTGCGGATGAGAAGCGTTGCTCAGAAGTGTCGCTCAGAAGTGTCGATCGGCAGTCGGTCAGAGGCAACGACCAGATGTGTTGCTCAGAAGGGTCGGTCAGAAGTGCGGATGAGAAGCGTTGCTCAGAAGTGTCGCTCAGGAGTGTAGGTCGGCAGTCGGTCAGAAGGTGTTGCTGAGAAGCGTCGCTCAGAAGTGTGGATCAGAAGTGTTGCTCAGAGTTTGTCGCTCAGAAGTTCCGATCAAACATGTTGCTCTCAGAAGTGTCGTTTCGTGTGTGTTTGCTCAAAGGTGTGCTCAGGGGTTTTGCTCATTGGTCAGAAGTGTCGCTCAGAAGTGTCGCTCAGAAGTGTCACTCAGAGGTTTTGCGCAGATATGTGTGTAGACTTGTCGCCTCGACTTGTCGCTCAGGAGTGTCGCTGATTCTGTGTAGAAGTGTCAAAGTGTTGCCCAGACGTGTCGCTGATGTGTGTGTGTGTAGAAGTGTGGCTCAGAAGTGTCGCTCAGAGGTGTCGCTCAGAATTGTCGCTCGAGAGTGTTGCTCATGCAGAAGTGTCGCTTACATGTGTGTGCAAAAGTGTGGCTTGAAGTGTTGCTCGGCAGTGATTGTGCGTCCATTTGTCGCTCAGAAGTATGGGTGCAGGATTGTCGCTGGGCGCTTGGATGTGCCAAATCAGAGGTGCTCGCTTCGGAGCGTAATTAGGAAACCTTCAGAAGTGTCACTCAAGTTGTCGCTCAGAAGTGTCGCGTCAGTGACAAGAGTCACTCAGAGTATTGCACATCCGTCTTTGGCATCGGGTTCGTGGCTTCTATCAGGTTTTTGGGTTGTTTGAAGCCTGAAAGGACATGAGCTGGAGTAGGCCATGGGAGAGTACCTAGATTCTTCTTAAGACCCCATCAAGCGATGGCCCGTCAAGCCATGTTCCAGCGGTCAACCACCTTGATTGAATCTGTTCAGGCCACTAATGCTTGACAATTTGGATGCGTCGTCAAATCGAGAGGCCGCCAAAAAATGGAAGTTTTCCTTTGTGGCTTCCCTTTGAGCCCACCCAAAAAAGGGGCCCCTCACAAAACGGCAAACACATTTAGGCTTTCGGGCAAACTGTGGTACGAACCGAAATCGGAACCAAGGCAGCTGAGCTAAGTCCAAGCAGCGCCAGGCATTAAGCGTCGGAGTTTGTTTGTGCGCGCCCCTGCAAATCAGATTGTCAAAGCACAGTATCCTGCGAACCGAAACAGCCCAACAGTTGAGCCAGTTTAGTTCATCATCCGCTCCCTCAAACAGATCAAGCATGCGCTGAGGTGGTCTTCTCCGAAAGCGTAGGTCGCAATAGCAAACTGCCTAGATGAGAGGCCCTGCTGAGTTGTCCAAAGGAACCAACTCCGTGATTTTCACGCACACACAAACACACACACACAACATTCCCTAGATAATCCTCCAAATCACCACCACACGGAAACTCCCTTTACATCAAAAGCTGCCAAGAGGGAATAGTTGGACTGTTTGTGGAGCTTCAAGGGGTAGCCTCGGCCTCACACACCCACGTGTCCCAAACATGTTTGCAGAGCGGTGGATTGTTCGCAGCCCCAGAACTACTTAAATACTTTAGGACTGGGGTTTCTCACTCACAGAAAGTGCCCTGAAACCAATGATTTTCCGGCAGCCATTTGGTCGTCGAAGCATTTTTGGGGGTGGCAACCATTGTCCTAACCCGGCCCCTCTTTCACGGTCACGCCTGCGCTACGGCGCTTGTGGCCGCGTTGTAGGAGACCATCGTGGCGTCCAGGTCTCCTATTCAAGTGTAAATCGTTCAGCAGCCCTTAGCCCTTGACTACCCCCAAGCGCAAGAATTGGGATATACATCCTTCTGTAGCGGCTATGCAACTTTCATTTGTTTAACAGCCCGTTGGTGGGCACAAAGCGCAAAGACAACGCCACGCTTTGTCTTCTCAGCCAGTTTTTGTTGTAACGGCCGTGTCCTCGTTTCTGTAAGCTCCTTTGATCGCCAATTATTTTCATTGTAGCGCCCTTTTAAAAGCCGGCCTTTGATATGCAGCTAGTTGTTTGTAGGCATGAAGCTTTCTGGACGGCGGGGCAAGCAGTGGGGATCGAGCAGGAAGAAAGGGACCCCCAAGTCAAGATCTTCATCAGCCCTCGGTGGTGAAACCGTCATTATTTGGTCCAAATGAGAAGCTTGGATCCAAAACGGAAACCCGAACATCAGTTGCACAACTCTGAACATGTTCATTTTACGGGGCCTGCTAGTCTCCTCGTTTCTCCAGCTCCTCCAGCAGAAGTAGCGCATGATGCCACTGCGAAGCCTTCCTGAGCCACACAAAGAAAACCATGATGGCCCGATTGGGCAGCCGTATTTGCCGGGCCTTGCTTACACACCAATGGAAAAGGAATTTTCGCGCCAACTGTTGAAGGTGTTAGGGTGGGGCTGGTTTGCGCGGCCCCTGGCGAAAGCAATGCCTCCCCGTGGTTCTCAAGCAACTCAGGTTGATTTCCGCACTTGAAAACAAACAACTCAAAAGGCTCAACTTTGTGCGATCTTGGCTAAACATGCGCCAGCGCAGGAAAACCGAAAGGTTCATGCGAGGGGGGGGGGGGTCATTTGCTAGCGAGGCTCTCACAGGCACTGACGGTCACCTTGGCGTCGACGGCTTCGCCAAAGGCCACAGCAGTTTCAAGCGGGTGGTTTGGAGGTATAGAGGGAATGTACCACTTGCCAGGAGATTAGTATGGGCATACTTTGTATACAAGCGATATACCAATGTATACAAAAATACGATATTCTTCTATTTGCCCTGCCCGAGTATAAAAAACCACCTGAGGCCCCCCCCCCCCCCCCCCGCTGTCCGCACACACGCACACACACACACACACATGCAAAAGCACAAGCCTCACACACACAAAGCTGATTCAAATTCATCGTGCATGCAGTCTGGCAAGCACGACGCGCTTGCCAAATCACGTGAAAAGACAAAAAACCATGGGAAAGAAAAGGGGAAGTTAGGCTGCCCACAACGACTTCTCTCGCCTGACAGAAAGGCTGCGCTTGAGAGCACTCTATTCTGCCACGGAGTAGGGGTCATTTGAACAAACACGACAGAAACAAGGTCACGGCCTTGTTAGTGACCTGGCGCTTTTTTGCGCACGCTGTGGGCGTCTCAAGCCAGGCCGCTGAGAGAAATGGGACAGCGTGATCTGATTTGTTCAGAAGCGCACGCGATCACCCCCCCCTCCCCAGGCCAACAAATCGTCTCATGAAGCTGAAAAAGTGCAGAGAAGGTCAGGTCGCTCATGCTGGCGTGAGCATAAACAACATACCCTTCGTGACGTAGCGCGGTGGCCTTCCGCGCGATGGGGCGACCTTGCGGGTGTGACCTTCGTGTGAAACCTGGTGGGTGCGACCTTGGGTACAGGTGAGACCTCGCAGGTGCACCCCGGCAGGCGTGCCCTTGTGGCAGCTTGCGAGCGTGACCTTGCGGGGGCAACCTCACCGGTATAAAGCGCAGCAGAGTTGCCAATGCCGTCGCAGCAGCACAGCAGTGCTGAGCAAAGGGTTTCTTTGAATGCTGCTTCCTGGTTCGAAGGGAGTGCGCCATCAATTGGCAGCTCCGACAGCCAGGAAGTCAAATATGTCATTTTGCAGGTCTCCCTTCCCCCAATTTCCATGGTCAAGGGGAAGATGATTATATATATAGCAATTATATACATATAAAGGCTCCACACCTCCAAACACTCCGCCTGAAGAGCCCCTTAAAAGGACCAGGCAAGTCATTTGTGACATGGGTATGATTTTTAGGGACATGGATCCTCCCTTGGTGGACGTTAAATTGGTGACATTCTTGGGGACCTGTGTCCACCGACCATTTTTCAGGGTGTCCCCCATGAAAGATCATAGCCAGATGGCAGATTCCCTAAATGCAAAGCAAGTCAACCAGCCGAAATCCATGACAACTGACGCGGCTTTCCGCGTTTCCTACTTGAACTATGAAAGGACTACACCGTACAGGTAGCTCCAAAATCAAAAAAAACAGGCAAGCTCGATCCATGGCTTGTGGTGAGGTAAGGCCGTACTGAGGCCTTATTGGGACAACGCGGCTTGGCTCGAAAGGGCCCCGCACTGTTGGACAGCCCCACATCACCTTTTGGGTTGCTCAAGTCATTGCAGGTCACCTAGCTGACAACTCACTGTGACAAATTCAAGACTTCAGAACCTTACACGTTCAGTGCAAAACCGTGAGGCTACCTCATCTTTGCCCCACCTCGCAAAACAAGTTTGAATCTGGTCCATGAGGCAACCATGGCAGCCTCAAAGTGCAAGCCAGCTGTTCCCAGTTGCTCCTTGTTGCGTGGTGAAACAAACTCCGAAAACCACACCCTCCATTTAAGTTTGGTGCCCAAAACCCGCTCCCAGCGCGAGACAAGCGGAGTAAAACAACCCCCTCCATTCGCCAGTGCCCAAAATCCCCAGCGCGAGACATCTGCGAGTCACGTTGTAGGTCACCACGTCCGGCCGTCCGCCGCTGCGAAACATCTCCAGCGCGGGTTTCCAGGCCGCGGAGCGCTCGCAGGCGCTGATGGCGGCGCCCAGGCAGATGAAGTTGAAGCCTGGCGACGAGGGGGGAGCCACCGTGCTTTTTGTTTCCTTCGACAAAAGGCCGCAGAGGACACCGCATGACTTGGTTTTTCTTTTTCTTTTTTTTGGGGGGGAGGGGCCATCTATCTTTGAGGAACATGGAGATGGAACATATCTCCTGCAAATGAACGCGGGAGCAAACCGCCAAATACCCGTTTTGCATAATTCGGAATCTTCCTTTGGGCGACCGCCTTCTTGGGCTCCATGCGAATTTGCAGGGGCAAAATCCCAGGCTTCGTGTCCCGAAGCCCAAAGTGTGGGGCCCGTCCCAAGCGCAAAGAAGACATACGCTATGGCAGAAAAAAAAGAAGTTGGTTGCTGGCACGACCCCCCTGCAAAAACTTTACTTTTTGGGGAAGGTTTAGTGGAAAACACATTTATTTCCACAAAAGTTAAAGTCTAAAGATCCAACCCAAGAGCAGTCAAGAAATGGTGCGGAGTGGATGGCGAACTCTTCAGCGGCCGAACTCTTTGATCGCATTTCGGTAGCATAATCACTCCTTCACGTGCAGACGACGTCAACCAATGCACTGCGGTCTTTCCATCTTTAGCCCGCGAAGGAAGTCTGCCAAATGGTCACCTGAAGTGATCCATGTCTAAGATCAATTAAATCGTTTGGAGTGACATCGGGGCACATTAGCACTGAATGTGAAACGCAAGAGGGTGCTAATGGGATGTACCAAGTAGAGGGATTAATAGCAACCGAGTGGACCCACGGGACACAAATCTGCAAAAACTATCACAATTCAGAAACCTGACATAAGGGATTCTCTACTCACCCTAGTGAACAAATATGGGTGTGTCGTTTTTTTAGGGGCCGCCCCAAAATGATGGATTCATTCTCCTTTTGAGACAAGCCCTCCCTTTTTTCCATACTGAACTCGTTTTCTCACTTCCAGGTGGAGTGTCCAAACTCGGGAAGTGAGTAAAGTTGACCCTATATTCATCAACCCCAGTTTATTCATAGCGGGGTGGGGGCACTCCGAAAGCGGTCGGATTCCAATGCAGGCACACCTTTCTACGGGCGTGATGAATTAGCCTTAAACAGCAAATTTTGCGCGAAACAAACCAGCAAAAAATAAGTTGCCACCAAAGAAGTGAGTATAATGTTCGGCGGTGTTAAACAACTTCTTACTCACCAAACACAACAATGCCGAGAAAAAAAAAAAAAAAGCCAAACAAAGTAACTGCGCTGCTTACTCACCGCCAAAATGCAAAACAACATGCCAACCCATTTGGCCAAACAAAGTAACTGCACTGCTTCACCGAAATGGCCCGAGTCCCCTGAGCTTTCCCCGTCTGTCCCGCCTCCCAGCTCTGCCAGCAGAAGCCCCGCCACCTGCCAGGCGCTCCGTGCGCTGCCGATGCAGGCGCCGTAGCTGACCTCAGCCGAAACACCCGGGGAGTTGAGGGAGTCCACTCCACCCGACGAAACAGAGGGAGGGTCGCGGTTTAGCAGGTTTCTTTGTTTTTGGCTCGAGTTTGAGGTGTTGTGGTTTTTGGTCTTATTTGGGAGATTCGGGGTTTGCTTTTCTATTCCATTTGCTTGCTTCCGCCTTTTGGGTTCTGGCAGAGATACGGAAACTACTAATCCAGAGGTTCAAGGTTTGGGGGTTTTGTGGGTTTCCCCGGAACACACCACACGTTTGACGGATTAGTGGATGGATTTGGGGATTTTGCTGTCTTGGGTGGTCAAATGCGAGGTTTCAGGGGTGGTCCAATGGGAGGTTTCAGCCAAAGATTTGCGAAGCGAGATTTCGCCAGTCAACACGGTGGCCCGGACGCCAAAAAGACCCGTCAAAATATGGCTCGGGCACTCGGGAACATGGAGGATTTGGGTAAAGCAAGACCTGACAGGAGGTTTAGGGTTGCAAGTTTTGGGGACGACCAGGCAAGATGATACATGCTACTGGAAAAGAACAAATGGCTTCATCCTGTTTCCTGCTTGCTGATCTATTGTTCTCGGTTTAGCGCTTCTTTGAATTCCTAAATAGGGAACCCGCCTCACCATCATTTGCATGTTCGGTGCTTCACATGCGTACTTGTCACGATGGTTTTCGTTTGAAAGCATCGGCTCACGGAATCCTTCAGGGAGCCAATGTGTTTTTCAGGATTGAACCTTTTTGTGCCTTCCTAACCGCCTCACTAAAGGTCCCGAGACAATGTGCCCCCCTGTTGGGTGGTTGCACATAATATGCATAAACAGGTCCTGCGCAAGTTGGTTGGTTGGTCTTTTTTTGGCACTCATATGGTTTCATCCATCTCAATTGGAGCACCCCACCCCCCCGGACCTTCTGGGGAAGCGGGGCGTTCCCCGACTGATGGCCTGAGGCCTGGGCCACATCCGCCAAGCGCTCTGCGCACATCCGCCGGAGCCAGTGGCAGGCCACGGGCCACGAGCCGCCTGGGAAGAGCTGAGGCCTGGGGGGCCTCCGGGGCCATTTGGGGCTTTGAGTCGCTAGGTCCTCCAGATTTGAGAGCTTAGAATCAGTTGGTACCAACCTTTTTCTCTAGTCTATTTTACTAGGGGAACCGAATCTCCTAACCAAAAAAGGGGAGAGAAGGGCACTGGGGAACCTAGTTGGTGTCTAAAGCCAGAAAACCCCGGCCCAAAGTTGGTGAATTCCCTTTCGCTTCCGGAACCCTTTGAAGAGAAACATGGAATCCTCACGCTCTTGATCCTTCTTTTCAGAACCTGGTTTCAGTGTTGGCCCGGTGTTTTGGGCATTTTTCCGACCGCTGCTCAACCTCCCAACGGTGAGGTGCCTTGACAAACACCAACTGTCAGTGGACTCAGGGTACACTTGTAGTTGCTACACATGACTGGATATGACACAAGCAGTGGCATACACAATGCATGCAACAAAACCTGACTTCAATCAGATCAACTTCTTTTCCCATCGAACGGGTCCCAACATGGACGAATACCAAATCGTCTTTGCCGTAACTCAAAGAACAACTCAAGTTGTTTTTACACCAACTTCTCACGCATTAGCCTTTGACCCTTGGGAGAGAACCAAGAGGCCCCCTCATGAACCTTTTCAGTGGCGCTTGGTTGGCAAGCACATGCCTGGAATCCCCCAGTCTTCGGACTCTGGATCCATATAGTTGCGCCACCAAACTAACCACGAGGCCACTGGTTTGAACATTGCGAGTGGCTGAGAAAAAGAAACACCGAAAAAGAAAAAAAAAACAGGTGGGGCCGTAAGAACTGCCCTTCAACTTTGAGCCACTGAAAGGCCTTCCGTATGACTTCTGTAGCGAGAAAGGACTGGATGACGCTTGGCCTTATGATTTCAAAGTGGGCGTCCTTGGCTGGCAGGAAGTGGTGACCTTCCCAATTCTCCCAATCCATGCTAGGGCGTTTCCAAAAATTGTCTGGCACCAAGAGAACAGGGGCGCCTAGAAAAAAGAGCCCCTGCAAGGGCAACCTGAAACCACCTTTGCTTTATTTTTGAAAGGGACACGGCTTGCCGGGAGTACCTTCCTGGAGAGTAATTAAACAGGAGGACTCGACAAATTAAGCCCTTGTTGCGTCCTTCAAGTTAGAATAAACAAATACGCTGCGCCCAACAGGGTAATTACACCAAAATCACACTTTCAGATATGGTCTGCCTTCAGAAGACATCTTTTCTGAGGCGACTTTCCACCCCAGAAAGGGCCCGTCTCCATCGCCTCGAATGACCGCGGTGCCGGTGATGGCGTTGGCCTCCAGGCCACGCCTCGTGAGGGAGCAACGGGTTGGGTACCTGGGATTTACCACGGACCTGGGGCACAAACTAGGGTGAATGATCATATCGTCAGACTAGGTGAGCTCGCGTGCCCCGCACATGAGCAAAGAACAGTCGTTGACCTCTCCTGTTTACAGCAGGGTCGCCCTATTATAGTTCACTAGCCTGAAATGAGGTGTTGTTATAGTTCACCCAGAACTACAATGCACAGAAACCAAAGACTGGGAAGCCCTATGCGGAAGAAACACACGTCAGACTAGGTGAGCTCGCGTGCCTCTGCACATGAGCAAAGAACAATTGTTGATCTGCTACTCCTGTTTACAGCAGGGTCGCCCTACCCAAAGGTGAGGTCGCAAGCCAAATCCTTTCTTTGCGAGTCCGCTGTGACTTGCCCAAGCCATTGTTCAAACATTGGCTTTTTTGGGTTACCCTGTGCAGGGCCCTGCCGTGGTTTAAGCCCATCTTGCCCAACATCCATTTCCAAATGGTGCGGCCGTCGGCTCACAAAGCTCCCGAAGAAAAGCTGACGAAAGGCCGACTTCGACTGGACAGGCCGTCGCTGCCCCATGGTCTGGGCTGGTTTGGGGCACTTTCCTGTGGCTGGCCTTTTTGATATTCACGACTCCGGCTTATATAGTTCACTGTCCGGACCACCGTTCGTAAGAGGGTAAAGCCGTGGCTCATATGACCATCTGCCCTAGAAACCACGCACAAGTCATTCGTCACGCAGGGTTACAGAGTCCTTATTGATTGCTTTGCATCCAATTCGCTTGCGTTCACATAAATGCTTCTGTTCTATATCTGGGACCCCGCTTTTCATGGTACATGGAACAGCTTTACGGAATCCTTAGCAATCGTGGTGCATCGACTTGGCTGGCGTTCACTTAGTTCTAGATTTGGGACCCGTCTTGCCGGTTCTATAGTTGGGACCCGTTTTTTGTTTTTTGGGTAGTACATGGGACAACTGTAAAGACTCCCAGAGTCAAGCTTCACCCCTCCGAGGTGCAACTTCGCTTTTGCCGAGGCTCCGGTGCAGAGCTGCCAGCAGCAGGAGGGCCCAGTTCCAATCACAGGCCTCAGGGCTTGTCCCTTCGCGAATCGGGGGTCCTACGCACATTTGCCCTCCCAAGCAACATGGAAACCTGGAAGCAGTTGGCTTCCAACCATTTCGCTTCATCCGTCGCTTTGTGACACAAAGCAGTGGCAAAAAGCGTGATCGACGACGCCCTTGGTGGCGGGCAGAGCTATCGCCACGACTCGCGCTTTGCTCAGTGGTCTAACTATAAACATCTTTGTTCTAGGGGTTGAAAAGGAAACCAGCATGAAACCATTCATTTAGAGGATTCTTCTATGCGGCAGACATATCTGCAAACTTTACTTTTGCAAACTTGAAACAAGAACTGGACGCTCTGAAGTATAGGACGTACACAACGAGGTGCTTGCTCCTTTGCCCCCGAATCGGTGAGCTCGATCCCCATAACACACGGAATCAATGCCAACACGTTTGAGTCAAATGAGGACCTCTGACCAGTCTTCTGGATCCACGTGTTGTCTAGAAACAACTGGGAGAATGACACCACATGTTGACACAGAAACAGAAAACCAAACAGGGGGCCATCGGGAAAAACCCATGTAAATCCTGACAAACCCAACCTTACCGCGCGCCTTGATGGCTGCACTGAAGGTGATAACGTTGGCCCGCAAGTGCCTCTCCTGTGCCTCCTAGCATCTGCGATGCCGTCTGTCTCGTGCAAAACGAGCTCCTAATACATGGGTGCGCCTTACCTGAGGGTGTCCTGTTCAGCTTGGTACCGCCTTTTTGGGCCCCCCCTATTTTGACATATACATATACCAATATGGGTTATCCTTTAGTGGACGTTTTTTAAACACGGGCATTCATGTCCAGCAAACATTTCGGAGAGGTTGCCTGTTTTAGACTCGCGTGAATGGGGACTCGAAACTGGCGTGGTATAGTATCTTGATAGCCCCCTATTAGCAGGGGGGGGGGGGCCCCCCCACTTGTACTTTTCCAAGTTCTCCCCCACCCCTAAACATATCCTAAACATAACATACCCGCAGTAGATCTTGACCTCTCGAGACTTCCCATAGATGATGCTCCGATATCTGTCCATATTCTTTTCATGCCCGAATCCCACCCGAATCCCGGTGCGTGCGTCTGCGCGCAAACTGCTTGAGACTTTTTAGGCCCCCCGCGCTGGCTGAACTGAGTTGGAGGCACACGAGCCACGGTCAAAAATCATGTTGCGGGCATGGGAAGCCTATGATAGCCTATGGAAATCTTAGTCTAGTGCATCTTTCACCCCTTGTAAACATCTTCTAAAAGGACATTTTGACCAAGCCGTGTGTGCGAAGGCGCCGTTTGGCGCGAACCCCAAAAACGTGCTCAGAAGCTTTCGCGCATCTTCGCACTAATCCCCGCATCCCCAAACATGGCTTCAAGCCGACCGTGGAGTTCTAGCATATTCTAGTGGAATTCTGCGTTAAATTTGTCTTTGACTGACATGTTTCCATCATGTTACCGATTGTTTCTGGCATTGTTCAAACAAGCTTGACTCAATTTGACTCAACATCAAACTCATTGAGACCCTGTGACTATCTGTGAAGCCGTTGTGTGAAACTCGGGCTGCATCAGCTGGCTGGCAGCGCAATAACTGCGCTCTTGGCGATATCACGCAGGAGGCGCATGAAAGCCTTTGGCTGGGCCAGGCATTTTTGGAATTCAGTTGACACCCACGGCCCGAACGTCGCCTTGCTGTGGCTGACATGACTGGCCATACTGACGGTGAGCGCGTGATGCCGCTGCTGAAAAAACCCAGGGGCCTTTGCGAGAAGCTGGTCCCAAGTTGGACTGCCAGAAACGCGACTCAGGTCCAGGGGGCCGTGGTCTTTTTCATAGAAACCTCGCAGCACCTGCACATACTGGCGGATGGCACTGGAGCGCGTCTTTGCTGCCTGGAACGTCTCCTCGGTGAAGTACAGGACCTTGGCAGCTGGCTCTTTGACCTCGGTGACAGCATGCTTATCGTGCGAAAAAAAACATGTCAAAACATGTCAAAGCCACAGCAGCGTAAACGTGCAGCGAAATCCTTCTATGCTCAGAGATATTCAGAGACGCTCAGAGGATCTCGGAGGGCTAGCAGGGAACAGCATGGGAATAGCAGGGATGTTGGGAGCACTTGGGAGCGCTTGGAAGATCTTGCAGATGTCTTTGTGAGGTCGCGGGCGGGAAGCCCCCAAGGACGCGGCCAGCCTCGCTTTGAGCCCTTCCCGCGGCGACCTCGTCTAGCCCGGCTGAATGTCGAGCACGGCGGCGCCATCATCAGGCCGGACCTCGGCCGGACAAGCTCCGATAATCTTCCGGCACTCAAGCTGACTTCAACAAGAATTGAAAATGTGCCAGCTGAACCCCGCAATCTACAGCATATCTACAGCAAACTTGTGCTAGCTGACTCAGAACACAACTCAGCATAACTCAATCAACCCATCTCAACAAAGTTGAGTACTCAGCAAACATCGTCCGAGATGGGACACTGGGGCATGATGGAGCCAAAATGAAACCAACATGAATCAAACATCGAAACTGCCGAGTGGCACTTGGTTGCAAATGCAAGACCACAGCGGTTCCAGAGTTTGCAATCTGGCTATAATTGCAGGCTAGCCGCGCGTGCCCGTCCAAAATGAGCTGGCAGATGACTGACGACAGGTCTGGGTCTGTGAGGTCGTAGCCCCGGACAATGTCCAGGCTGTGCCCACGCGCCCAGTCCCGCAAAAGAGATCGAGGAACACGCCGGACTGGTGGGACTGCAGCTCGGCCCGAAGATCCGCGCCGGTCTTGAGGATGACTGCCGGCGCCGCACGGCGCGGCTTCATCTTTAGCTCCTTGCAAAGCACGGGCGCGAACATGATGTGAATTGGTGTGAGCATGTGTGAGCCTGAGCCGGACCTGAACCTGCGTCACTCAAAGATACTCAGAGCCAAGATTCCGGAAACAAAAGTAAACATATCCAAAACGCTCCAAAACGGCTGGTGGGAAATAATAATGTGGCGCATCATGGTGTGGCCATGTGCGGGTGGCATGGCGAATGCTGCATTGCGCGCATGAAACATCCGGAATATCTATGTTGAAAAATGTTGAAAATGGCTGAAAGCCAACACTCAGGAAAACTCAGAACTTCAATCAACCTACCACCGCTTCAACATACATCACCCCTCTACTACCAGATCTTACCAGTCTTTGCCGAAACTTGGCCGCTGTTTTGATATGTCTTGGTCATTTGTTGGATCGTCTGGCCTTGGAGGGGCGGGTGACCACGGCCGGCTGCTTGACCACCAGCGGCTGCCCCACGTGCGGCTCGGGCATTTTGCTGAGAAGCCGCTTCTTGGGGGCCATGGACTGCCACCACTTGGCTGCAGAGCTGCGCGACCTCGCCCCGGACTGACCTATGGACTGACTGCCCCGGACCTGCCCCGCCGGCTCGACGCGCTTGCGCCGCGCAAGGCACGACAGCACCATGATGATCAAGAAATATCAAGAACGGCACCTTTCCCATCCTGTCCCCCTTGGAGCCACTGCTCAGCAATACTCAGCCACTCATAGCAATACTCATGCAAATAATGCAATATTCAGTAATGCCCAACATGACTGGCATTGACTGGCTATTACGCGGCACTCCTTTGACATGTCACACGCTCCGCATCCCTACGGGGATGTTCAGCGACCAGGACTGAATAGGACTTGCGCCCACAGTCACACAATGTCACACACAAAAGAATCATATGCCAGCCTGAAGCACTGGCGTATACTGGAGTGCTTCAGCCCACTTCCAGAAATCGCCACAAAATGTTTCTTCGGGCGCGCGTGGGCTCGCTGGAGGAACGAATAAGAACATCATAAGAACAGCAAAGCCTGGAATCCGGAATGCCATGATACGCCATGAGTAGCATGTCATTAATGGCCAAGCGTCTGGAAATATCTGGAAGTCTTATTTTGGCACCTCTGCCAGCAGTCCCCCAGTATTACATTGGACTGACTGGCGCGAGCGCACGCACCAAGCTGGCCAACAAACTGAACCCGCAAGTCAACATAGCTGGGAAATATGCTGGAAAACATGAGCAAACAAGAGAATGACAATGAATGACAGCGTGGGCAATCATGGCCAGCCGAGGCGACAGTTCAACACGATCCTCCGCCCGCGTGCTGACACAAATCATTCAAAACTGTCAGCCTCAGCGGAGGCATGCGAAGATATGCGGAGGCCGGCTGATGCCGGCTGCCTCATGCTGCCTCAGTCCACGTCCTTCGCGTCGTCTTCTTCGGCATTTTCCCCGCTTGCCCCGAGCACCATGCTGGACTGACCTTTTCGATGGTCAAGGACTTCGTCGTGTAGAGCGCGACTGCGCATGGTTTCAGCCGCTTCTTGCCATCGAGCTCGGTCACCTGGCACAAGTCTATAGTTGGGTGGACTGGGCTGGACTGGGCGAGTGGGCGGGAATGCAACGGGAATGCAACATCAATAGAACTGCTGAGTGGATGTAACATGAAGCGCTGCCAAATGCTGCCAAAGTGCAAACGCGTCCTTCACACAAGCTGGCTTCTCCTCGTAGTAGGCGGCGAAGGCACTGTCGGCACTGTCGGCATCGCTGGCGCTCTTGGCACTGTCGGCACTCCTGGCACCGTCGGCTGGCTGCCAGCACCACACGAGCTTGGACTTGCGACGGCTGAGATTCTTGGCAGTCAGCTCCCCCTCCCTGCGTCCCGTGGATGGCCTTCACGACATCTCCGACTGGCCACAGCTCCGGCTCAGCGTCCTTCTGACTGGGCTTGGTTTTCTGGATGAAGAAGACTTTCGTTCGACTGCTGGGAGTCCATGCCAGCGGCTCAAGACCCGTGTCAGAGGGCTCCTGTGCGCTGTCCTTGGGCACACCGCGGCTGGATGGTCATATGACTGTCCCGCCAGGAATCCGACGCCTGGTTCCCAAGGCCCTGGCCTGCAGCATGCCACCCTGACAGTAAAACTGGAAGTTTCCATCTTCGGTGGTATTCAGGATGACTTCCGGGTGACTGCCGTGTGGGCTGGGACCAGCGACCTCGCTCCTGACCACCTGCTGCTGTGAACTGGCGGCCCCCTCAGCTGCACTCAGCACTGGCCAGGCTGGCTCCTCCGCTGCTAGCTCTGGCTTGACCTTCTGCCGCTTCAGCGCAGGCTCTGGCGGGGATGGCAGATCGTCGACCGGCAGGGTAGTCTGTGTGGGCGAAGGCAAGAGACATAGACTGTCCAGCTTGGGCTCTGCGGGCGACGGTATCTCGCACGAAAAGGCCGCCACATCTGCGGAGGCCAACAGCTGGACTGACGGCCGAGACTGCGCCCTTGCAAAGACGTGGACTGTCGCCAGATGCATCTGATGCGTGGGGCCTGGCGCTGTCTTGTCCAGCCAGTGGACCCAGTGACTGACTCCCGTGACTGGCGCTGCCCACCGGTGTGTCACCCGCTCCTGCGACGGCTTCAAGACATTCACCAGGAACAGGGGCGCCTTGCGGTCAACATCGGATAGCAGCCGGAAGCCGAAGTCAAGCTCCAGGATGACATCCTGGCGAAGGCAAACTACTGAGCGTGTGTTCCATGTTGTTCTGAGCAGGACTGCGTGCAGCTATGATGTGCCAGCTACGACTGTCAGAGATACTGTCCAGATATGTCAAGAATTGTCAAGATGTGTCAAGGCGGGGCTGCCTCTACATGATTCGACATGCCCCTACCATAGCCCGATGTGAGTGGACAAGCAGGAACACGGGCCGCAGAGAGCAGCCGAGCGTCTCCCTTCTTCAAGTCGACAGCTGGGAACACACCACAGCGCTGCGGGTGGACTGCCGAGCGCAGCAAGCACACCTGAGGAAGAGCGCAATGGCATGCAGTGACTGGCCCGAGGGCAGAAGGTCCATGAAGGTGCAGTCAAATGCGTGGTCGTTGTTGTTGTTGTTGTGGTGGTGGTGGTGGTGGTGGTGGTGGTGGTGGTTGTTGTTGTTGTTGTGGTGGTGGTGGTGGTGGTTGTTGTTGTGGTTGTTGTTGTGGTTGTGGTATGTTGTGGTGGTTGTGTTGGTTGTGCGTGGCCTGTGGCTATCTGTGGCTTGTCATAATTTGCGCTCAGCTATAACTTCCATCGTTGTGGCAAAACATGGCAAAACCATCCAAGCATCACCCCTCAGTGAACGCGCCAAAACGTACCAAAACATACCAAAACGCTCCAACAGTCTGCATGTGTCTCCGCATGTCTCCGCTGTCCGCAGCGAGCTCAGCCTGAGGTCTGAGGCCCTGACGCTGTGCTCCTCGCACTGCCAAGCCAACTTCAGCAGCGGCGGGAGCTTGTCCACGACGGAGGCTGACGGCAGCCGGCTGGCATTGACTGGCGCGGCCATCTCCAGGGGGTCTGAAGGTGAGCAGATGCGCAGCTTGTCTCCGTCGAGCTGCTCCCGCTCGAGCAGCAGAAGGCGACTGCCGGCACCAGCCCACATGCGGTCGTACCAAAGCTGCGTCTCGGGCAACAGGCTGACAGATTCGGCAGACTGTTCTTGGCACGAAGCCCACCTTTGCCAGCTCCAACTCGACGGTGCCTGCCATAAGCAGGCCCCGGAAAAAGAAAAGGTACACATATTGTCAAGAGACGGCAAGGTGACGTCCCGTGGGACGCTGTGCACCGAACCCTCCAGCTGTAATACCAACCACGTAGAAAGGTGTATACGGTCAAAGCCGTTATAGCCGAACCCGTGTAAACGTTGTAAGGGAGAAGGAATAATAGTTACAACAGTGGTCCTGACAAATGCAGCGCAAGCGCAGTGTTTTCCGCTCTCAATGCCGATCACGTGTGAATGCAGCTACACATCAGATCTTGAACCTCAATTGTGTCTTGAGCCAAATGGCGATCAATGGAACTTGGTAAGCAACACTAACACAGACCTCAGAACAGCTTCCCAATTTAGGCACGGGGCCTAGAGGGTTTTAACATCCCCCATTTGGGTCGCATTGTTCATCATGCGGTCCAAACACCACAAAACGTTCCACTGGCCACGGCCTCAGCTACGAAATCGTGTCGTGCATTATTTTACTTGCTATCGCTACACCGTTCATTCATTGTGAAACATGCCGGGTTCGATTGTATGAAAAGTGAAACATGCATCCACCAATCGAAGCGCATTCCCATATGCAGGTGTATACAATACACTATTGTCACGTCATTTGACCACCATTGAACATCCCAGCTGCCGCATTTGCGCATCGCGCAGCCGTCATCCATAGAAAATGGGTTGGCCATAAAAGTCCAACAGAGGCGCCTGCTCGTAAGCAATCTGCATATCTCCGGCAAAGAAATATCGGTGAGCAATCAATGCAAATCATAGCCATTCCAGATACCATGAACAATATATGTATAATGAAAAAGGAAATCATCCATGAGGTAATAGTTCCATCCATGAATATCCAGAATGTCATAGTCGTCGGAATATGTAACCATATACACATCCATTCATCTTGGACGCATGAAATCATATCATGATGTAAAGTCGTTCCATCGTAATGATGTTGATGAGACGCAAGCAACGGATGGGGACTAACCCACATCGTGCCGCAATCAGCATCTTCATTACACATACCTGTCTCCAATGGACAGTCTGTGAGTGCGTCGACGGAACTCCTCGTCCAAGTTCTTCTGGGCTTCTCGCGCCCGGACACACTTCTTGTTGTGATCCTCTGGTATCCAATGCCCTTTACGAAGGCACCAGTCCAGCAGAGGTGTGTCGCATTTATTCGGATCGATGGCCGCAATGATGGCGCTCACATTGACCGAATAACCATATTTGCCAAGGTTCAGGCCATCCCTCACGAATAATATATACTTACAGTTGAAAATAATATCACCCACCGGGTGCACGCGGTCCTTGACCAGGAGCTTCATTTCGTCCTTGGTGACGTCGAGGATTCTCGCTGCAATCCACAGCTTGTAGAATGTATATAATCCCTCGCATTTGCACACCATCATACGAATGTATTCTTCACGCTCCTCAACCGATCGGAAGACCCTTGTCCGAACATTCTCTGATTGAGAAATCTTCAGTACCGTTGATGGCAAAAGGATCCCTTCCTGATCGTGCTCAGTCATGTTGGGGTATCTCTTGAAGTCGTTGTGGTAAGGGCAGCCCGGCCTCCCTTCGAGTCCGGCATTCAACGTTCTCTCCTCACCACCCTCGAACATCCCCCACATCTTGGACATCTGCAGTGCGATGAATCCCGCCATGTATTGAGCCTCGCGCGGCTCATCAAGGCAAATCGCCATCCGCTGGGAATTTATAATATCCCGTGATGCCAAATCGGTGTCGCGGTAATGCCAACCGCCGTCTTCCTCTTCAGACACGTATCCGGATGTATATCCTTGTGTGTCCATGTCGTCTTCTTCAGGAACTTCCTCCGCCTCGTCATCATCCTCCTGTGCTGCCGCATCATGGTTGGCTTCTTCTTGTGCACGCCT